CACGTCCCCTTCACTTTTTATTGTTGCGACGCCTGTGGACGAATAAACTGAAAACAATAAAAATGTTAAAATGTTATTTTAGAACAAAACAGTACCTTTATTCAGTTTKGCATGTGCTTGTTTATTATCAATTACTCCAACAATTGCATTTCAACACTAAAGCACATAGAGTTCCACTTTATGCAACATAYTATGCATGTTATAATTTCAGATTTTCAGTATAAAACGGTGTACATTTAGAAACTTATACAATAGAAATCAGCTCTATGTACATAAAGCCGCAAAACAGCAGAAATTAGAGCACCATTTACAGTTATGAAAGGTATTTATTTTTGCAGCTTTCTGAGTAACCTTCAAAATAGTGGATGTAAATATAATATAAAAATTACATTCAAATTTATTTAAAAATAATCTATACATTTGTAAAAAAAAATCACATGTGAAAAGTGTGACATGAACTTTCTATCAAGGTGAAACCTGGTCAGGTACAAAACAAATAAAATTCAGTCTTGCAGTGGTTGAGATAACTTTGATTCAGACGAACCTAAATAGAGTCAAACACAGAAAGACAACGTTAACAAAATCAGCAATCAAATTTATCCTCAGGTGTCAACATAACTGGTAAATACATTATCAAAAATATTAAAATGCAGTTTTAGTCAGCCTCGCTTTGTAAAAATGACAGTTAATCATGTCCAGCAAATATTGTGTTGTACTTTTTATCTTGTGTACATTGTATTCATGAAAGCTGTTATAGACTACAAGAAAAGCTCTTAATTTTGTAACTTTGCTCACCTTGCCTGGTTCCCACCAGGCGCTGCTGAACTTTCTCTAGATGATGGATATATTCTGTCAGGGATCGCTCTGGATCCTGAGCTGCTCCACTGGGATGTGCCGAGGCCAGACTGGAGCTGGAGAATGACCTGAGGAGGGACAAAAAGAAAAACATTGAAGAAGGGCTTTAATTTAATACAAATACTTCTGAATTCAAAACAGCATCGGTCTGCTKAAATGTAGCCAAACCTTATRTGCAACCTGAAAGATGATTTGCTKGGTGGAACTAGAGATGACGCTGTGTGTCTCTGGGCGCCACTTTCTCTGTTCTGCGTCGAGTCAGAATTTGATCTCTGCTGCTGTTGCTGCCTTAAAACATCAGCTTTACATCCTGCTAAAGACATTAAAAAACTGACTCACTCATACACACAGTCAAAGGATTTATGAAGGTCATTTAAGCAGAGCTGACCTGGAACGTGTCTGTTACCATTCCCAGATAAAGGAAATCTTTTGATTGCTCTCTGCCATTTCCTGGTCAGGAACCTCATTCTGAAAGAAAACAAAAAGTTTAAGGTTTGTTTGACTTGCACAAGAATCAAGGTTGCAAACATTTCTACCTTGACACTGCAACGACAACTCGAACTATGGTTCTGAATCGCACGATGGGTTTGCGCTGAGACGTAAGAGGGGTCGAGGGTCTTGCTCCCATACGAGCGATGAGACACAGCGTGGCCTGCTCACAATCCTGAAACCCTCCTAACAGCAGCAGCAGGTAGCGCTTCTGGTAAACCAGAGCTTTCCTGAAGCTCTCAGCGCGCAGGTAGCGCTCATAGTAACGCTGCAGCTGTAAAACATAAAAAACATTACATTTCATCACTATCACTCAAAATAGCATCTGTTCAAATCTGTTTACAGACATTCACTGAACACTAGAATTTAAAGCCTTTTGTCAAACTGAGTCAGAAATAAAAGTGTGTTTTGGAAAATACAGGATAAAATCAATACAACTGAATGATGCGAACAGGACTGAAACATTGGCTACGTTCACGTTGCAGGTAAATTCAGATTTTTTGTAAAAGTCCATTTTTTTTGGCGTGATATATTTTAAATGTGACCTCCATTGGGCTCCAGCAGGAACCCAGTCATGGAATGATGCAACGACACATTCAGCTCACCGTTTACAGAAGTAGCTAAACATAGATGTTACATGTTAGCATGTCGATTTTGAAGTTGTGCAGTTGG